ATTGAGTATGTTCTGCCTTTCAAGAAGCTGTTGATAGATTCCTAATCAACCACAATTCATAAATTGGTAGAATTGGCCCACTTACAGCGTATAATGTATGAGAGGGCCCACTGCACACTTTATTTTATTTTATGTATTTTTCTTTTTTGAGACAGAATCTCAGGCTATCGGGCTAGGTGGAGTGCCGTGGCATCATTATAGCTCACAGCAGCCTCCAACTCTTGGACTCAAGTGATCTTGTTGCCCCAGATTTTTTTCTATTTTATTAGAGATGGGGTCTCACTTTTTGCACAGGCTGGTCTCGAACTCCTGAGCTCAAGCAATCCTCCTACCTCAGCCTCCCAGAGTGCTAGGATTACAGGCATGAACCACCATGTCTGGCCACCAATGTACACTTCAGAAATTTTATTTTAAAGGAAACCCAGGAAAAGTGAGGCTCTGAGAAAAGGTAGATCTTTAGAGTAGAAATGATTTGATTATTTAAAATGAACATTTAATTGTCTATTGTCTTATACCTTATAATGAAACAACCAAGGAAATAGATAGCTACCTTCTTATTAGTTACTCCCTATTTATACCCTAGAAATTTTAAAGTACTGGGCCTATATTATGGGCAGACTTCTGCAATGTTTTTTTAAAAGTAAATTTTTGTATTTTTTTTTTAACTGAAGGAATAGGAACTCTAGCCTTAGAGGTAACAATTTATTTATCTAAAAAGCGTCTAGTCCTCTGGTTTAGTTAGCAGAAGGCAGTATGGGATATAGTTTCTGTCTTTATATTTTCTTTGGAGAGAAAAACTAATTTACATGACAGAATATTTAAGTAAAGAACATTTAGGTAATAAATTAAGTAGCATGGAATTAATTACAATGCTTTGGGACTGTCATATATTTAATAAGGGGGCACATCCTTGGACGTTGGAGAAAGTTTTAGAGATGTATCATCTGTCTATTTCATAGCCTTGACTGTGATTAGTATGTGAATAGTGATAACTTATTGTATTTATGTTAAAATTACATGTATGTAGTTGCTTTCAAATACACCAAGTACAGAATCACTTCATTTTAACATTAATA